CGAAGCGCGAAGCGCGAACAACTTCGCGCTCTCGCGCCGCCCCCCAAAGGGAGGAAAGGAGGACGAGGAGTAGGGGGAGAAGGAACGAGGACCGCGAAGCGCGAAGCGCGAATAACTTCGCGCCCTCGTGGGAGCCCTTGCTTTCCGTGCCCATTTCCTTCGTGCAGAATCCTCATTAATCCTTGGCCGAAGGGGCCGAGCACAGCTCGGGCGCAGGCGAGACGTGCACGGCCCTCTCGCCGAGCACTGCAGGCCACGCCGTGCCCCCCACACGGCGGCCCGCGGCCTGCGCAGGGCGTGCCGTGGCGCCGGCACCAGCCACAGCCCGAGGCCCCCTCCTCCCTCCCCCTCTCCTCCCTCCCCCCTCCCCCCCTCCCTCCTCCCCCTCCTCCCTCCCTCCCTCCTCCCTCCTCCCTCTCCCCCTCCCTCCTCCCTCCAAACCTCCTCCCTCCTCCCTCCTCCTTCTCCTCCTCCTCCTCCTCCTCCTCCTCCTCCTCCTCCTCCTCCTCCTCCTCCTCCCAGACCACCCCAACCCAACCCGAAGACCCGAATTTGACCCGAATTTCGGGTGGGGGGGGTGCGGGTCCCATGTGTTTTTTCAGTGCTCCCCGACCCCCTCCCCACTGGAAGTGGAGGGAGAATCGAGGCCGTCGGGCTGGGTTGGGTTCGTTTGGTGGGTGGTGAGATCTGGACGCCCGAAAGGAGCACTGCAAAAGTGGGCCCCATGTCAAAGAGCCAGCGTTGTCCAAAACCGACCGCGGCCGCCCGTCTCGAGCGCACGGCGCCCAGGCGGCACATGCAGCGAACCGTGCTCAAAACAGACAGGGGCCTGCTTTCCGTCTCTGTTGAGGGGCAACGGCCTGGGGGGACTGGCACCAGGGGGGGGCATCGACCTGGAATCGGCGATGCATCGCCGACTGATCGGCGATAGGCCCCCGAGAGCAAATCCCCACGTGCATGCCTGGGCGGGGTGGGGCTGTCAGACCCCTATCGGCGATCAGTGGGCGGTTGGAGGTCGATGCATCCCCCCTGCTTTACCCCTCCCATCTCCGTGCCCAATTCGGTCGCGCCGAACCTGTGGCACTGGGGAGACCGAAAGGTACCGATACCGCCACTCCCCGGACCTCTCCCTTGGTGCGTGCTGACCAGAACTTCGAAGCGAATCCAGCGGTGGCGACAAGGGCCTCCCAGGAGGGCGAAAGCTGGCTGGTGGCCACTGTGGGCATTCTTTGAGGGCTGCAGGGACAGCACCCAGAGGGCAGCCTGGAGGTGGACCAGCCGCGGCCTGACCTCAGTCGGCTCCCACATCCGCGCACAGGGGACAACAGCTCCGGTGGAAGGAGGGCCCCCCCCAAACTCCCTGGCGATCTCCAGGGGTAGCAGGGGATGGAGGGCATCCCACCTTGCACCAGGGGGTTCCCGAGTGAGCGCATGTGAGTGCGGGCAGGGAGCTGTAAAAGGGATCCGCCCGGGGGTCAACCATCCAGTCCTTGCAAGGCATACCGCAAACTGCCAGCGTGGGTGGTGGAGACCATCCGGATCCGCTCCCAGCCCCCACCCCCGACCCACCTCCGCGGCCTCAGTCCTACCTGACCCACTTGGGGCCAGGACGCACTGAGCAGCCGGAGACGGCAGGGCGAGGGCGAAGGCGGCTGAGCCTGGACGGAGGAGTGGACGGGGAGCCCTGGAAACTTTTTCGCTCCTTAGAGATGACGAAAGAGACAGGAGAAAGGAAGGGAGGGAGGGGGCAGCAGTGGCAACAGCTTCCTTGAAAACTCGGGCTCGCAATGAAAAGCATGCGTTCACCCAGCATCTTAGTGGATATGTAGCTTATGCGCCCTCGGCTGGAGGCCCCAACCCCTCGGAACAGAATCCCCCAGCCTTCGACACGAGCGGCCCTGTGACTGGTCTGGCCACCGGCCTGCTATGCAACAAGTCTCTGAGTTGCTAGCACCTGAGAGGGAACGGGAGGAGGGAGGAGGGAGGAGGGAGGAGGGAGAAAAGGATGGCTGGCCTGGGCTGGCCTGGGCTGGCCTGGGCTGGCCTCGACTGGCCCGGGCTGGCCTCGGCTGGCCCGGACTGGTCGCGGCTGGCTCAGGCTGGCCTGGGCTGGTCGGGGCTGGCCTGAGCTCGCCTCGGATGGCCTCTGCTGGCCTGGGTTGGCCATGGCTGGCCCGGGCAGGCCTGGGCAGGCCCGGGCTGGCCTGGGCTCGCTCTCGCTGGCCTCGCCCCAGAAGGAAGGAGCAGGGATAAGGGAGCAGGGGGCAGACGAGAAGCGAGGGGAAAGGGGGGGGGGAAGGAAAAGGGGGGAAAATCGCGTGGTGGCAATAGGCGTCTTCACGCGCTGCCACGCGCAGAGATAGCCACGAGGAGGGCGATTGCCCCCGATTCAGAAGATACGAGTGCGAGGGAATGCGGATCATCCGGGGCGGCCGACAAAGGACCTCCGGAGGTCACCGGGACAAGCAGGATAGCCCCCGGAAAACTCTCGGCGGGGCGCAGCCCTGGACAGCGAAAGCAACCGTGGACGTCAGCGCAATGCCCCAAAAGGCATACCTACTGGAGACACCGTGACCGCGGCGCGCGAACGCCCACCAGGAGACAGGGAGGGGAGGGGAACAGAGGTTCGGCAAATGATACGATCGATCCAGCACAGGCGTACTTGATGCCGCTGCACAGTCGGCGCGGTGAGACAAAAAAACGCGTTCGCTCAAAGAGGGGCTCGGGGAGATGGTAGGAAGCACGCGGGGCAAGGTACCGCAGGAGATCCGAGCGCACCAGCTCTAGCAAAGAGAGACTAGCATCACCTATCCCCAAGGTGCGAGCAGATCCCTACAAGCAAGGCAGGGCGGAGAAGACTCCCGCAGGCCTGCCAAAAAGCACCCCTGGCCCTACCAGAGGCCCAAAACGCACAAGCTTCCCCAGCTGCGCCCGGCTGTGGCGACGAGAATGCCTCCAGCAAGCTGCCGGGGGCCCCCACGAAGAAAGCAAGGCAGAAAAGACCACCAAGCCAAAAAGCACCCCCGGGGACCAAGCACCTCCGCCAGCAGCGTCCAGCCGTGGCGACGAGGAAGCCCCCAGGAAACCGACAGCCAGCGCCCAAAACCGCACGCCGCCAAAGAGCCTGGCCTCAGCGTCCAGCCGCCCAGACACCCGGCGCTCCCGGGGCCCCCTGCCCACCCCCCGGGACAGACACCTTCGAAAGACACGGAAAGGGCGAGCCAGACACACCCGGGCTGCTCTCGGGGAGGCACAGCTGGAAGGCGGCATCCCAGCGAACTCGAGGGGGAGGAAACACCTCACCGACTCTTCGGGAGAGCCTATGGTCGTGGCCCCTGCAGCAAGGAGGCCGCCCGTAACAGAAGGCGGCGTAGCCGAGAAAGAGGTGGCGGCTTTCGGCAGAGTGAGCGTTGACTCGGCGGGGTACGCGAAATGCGTGGAGCTCACTGGCAGCATCTGATCGTGCCTCACGCCCGCGATCCCAACCATATCTGATTTGCAACAGCCCGCTGGGGTAGGACGCGTGCCCACCAGGAGGGGTGCCGCAGTCCTTGCTGCATTGCCTATTGACGTGTCTCCTGCCTTGTGGAGGCTGCACGTGAAATACTCGAAGAGGAGGGAACTCATTCCAAATGCGAATGCGTTGGCTCAGCGGGGTATGAGGAATGCGAGGACCTCATTGGCTGCATCTGGTCCTTCCCCTAGCCTGGAAAGCAAACAGTATTTGAGTTGCTACCACCCGAAAATGTAAAGCACATGCCCACCATGAGAAGCGCCCGTGCCGCTGCCGAGATGTCAACTGACCTAGCCCATGCCCCAAGAGGGCCGCACAAAATGATCAGCAACGTATTCGTGAGGGAGGTGTCCCCGCGGGAACGTGTCAACGTCAGCCTGCCGGGTACACTCACTGCGTTGAGCTCGCTAGCTGAAACTGGTATTGTCCCAAAACCGCGATGCACACGGTCCGTGATCTGCTACCGCCCGCTGGGCTAAAACACGTGCCGGCCAAGAGGAGTGCCTCTGTCTCTTCGGATATGTTTGTCGACGTGGCCCCTGCCAAAAGGGTACTCCACAGGATGGCCGAAGTGACGCCTCCGCCTCCGTTTCCACCATCACTTTCGCCGCCACTATTCGCCTAACACGCACTCTGCCGCCGCCATCCGCCTCCGTCTCCCCCCAAGCCGCCGACACCACCGCCTCAATCGCAGCCGCCGCCTTCGCCCCCGCGTCCACCGTCGCCACTGCACTATCCACATCGGCTCCACATGCGGCCCGATGGGCTTCACGAGACGGCCCACAGACCTGAAAAGGATCGAGCCATCGTGGCTTGAGCCAAAATGGCTACGGAACGGAACTTGGGCTGGGCTGCCATCCCTCAGAACGGAACTTGGGGGAGATCGTTTGCGTACGTATGCGCTCGTGGAGTACTGGACGGAAGCGCCTGTACAGCAGTAGCTTGAACCACCGAGGCTAAACCCATAAAGTCGGCTGCAATACACCAGCCGCCCGAGTGTGTACACCTCACTCAGATACTATTACACGTGAGGTCTTCGTTAAACGGGTTTTGCAAAAAAGGGTTCCTTCTTCAGGGCCCCGACTGTATTCCCGATCGGTGCGAGCGGCCGTGCCCATCTAGAACTCGAGGGGAAACCTTGGCCCGTGCCTCCAGCACACGGGCGACTATGCGCTCGTCGTGCATGGGCGGGAGCGGCAGCAGGAGGGGTTGGAAGGGGAAGGGGAAGGGGGAGGGAGAGGGGAAGGGGAAGGAGACGACCAGATCTAGAGGGGAAGGGGAAGGGGGAGGGAAAGGGGAAGGGGGAGAAAACGTTCACATCTCGCTCGCGGGCACCTTCACGAAGACGCCACGCTGACAGGCACATATTCAGTCAGATTTGACAACCAGATACCCGAACAAACAACCAATGAGACAAGCACGACGAGCGGGGGTAGTTCAGGGTGTCGCCTCTTCCCAAACAGTATCTTCTTCATCCATCCCTGTTTCCCCGTGGTCATGGGACTTCTTCGCGCGTTCACGATGCTCACAAGGACGGGCTCAACATGGCGAACAGTAATCCAATCTAGCATTCAACATGGCGCAACATAGCCCGCATTTTGCCGCACTTTCTGGTAAACAAGGGGCAAGTCTGTTACCAGATGGCGAAACAGTCGACGAGCCAAATGCGCGCCAACCGCGAGACGCGCCAACTTTGCGTGCGCTGTCACAAACTCAGGTTATGCAGGAATGAACTCAGAATGGCAACGCAGGTAATGCCCCCGAACTCAGGTCGGGTCACAAAATGGATCAAAATCCGCCGACACTGTCGGCGTGTGGAAGACGCATCCCGGTGTCGTCGTCTTGCGTGGATCACCGTCGTCGTCGTCGTCGTCGTCGTCGTCGTCGTCGTCGTCGTCGTCGTCGTCGTCGTCGTCGTCGTCGTCTCCGTCGTGTCCTCGTCGTCTCCGTCTCCGTTGTCCCTCGTCGTCTTCGTCGTTCCCCGTCTCCTTGAGCGCGCGAGCCAAAGCGACATTGAAAACGTCGTAGTTGAGTCGTGGCGAAGCCCCTCCCTACCCTCTCCGCCGGGAGGGGGGGGGGGGGTGCCACCCAGATACGCATCCTCCCTGGGGGGTCCCGGAGCTCAGAAAAGCTTCAAGACGAGCCAAGAGCGCCAGAAGACACCCCCAAAAGGGTACAAGAGGGCCTCGACTCGACGAACGATCGCCCCAAGACGCCCAAGACGGCCCGAAGACGGCCTAAGAGGCCCTCAATACGCTCCAAGAGAGCCCCAAGAGCACTCCCAAGAGGGCCCCAGGAGCCAAAATCGTCAATTTTACATTGGTTTTTGAATGATTTTGGCCTTCTCGCCTTTTCGGCTTTCCGACACTCCAAGACGGCCCAAGAGGCCCCCAAGAGGCCCCCAAGAGCGCACCAAAAGGCCTACAAGAGGGCCCCAAGACGGCCCCAGGACAGCCCAAGAGGCGCCCAAGACGGCCCAATAGGGCCCCAAGACGGGCCCAAGAAACGGCCAAGAGGGGGACGAGGAACCGAGAATTCGAGACTTCCGCCCTAAGAGGCCCCCGGGAAGCCCCAAGAGGCCCCCAAAAGGCTCCAAGAGGCCCCCAAGCGGCGCCAAGACGCCCCCAAGATGCGCCGAAGACGGGCTCCGGAAGCCCCAAGAGGCCCAAAAGAGGCCCGAAGAGGCCCCACAACGGCCCCCAAGAGGCTTCAAGTTGCCTTCCAGACGCCCTCGACAGGTCAACCACGAGATCCCAACCAACATCCATAAGGCCTCCTCCTCCTCCCCCTTCACCCTTCCTCCTCCTACTCCCTTCCGCCTCCTCCTCCTCCTCCTCCTCCTCCTCCTCCTCCTGCCCCCCCCTCGTGTTGTCTTTCGTCATCTTCAGGGTCGGCGGCAACGGCCGTAAGGCCTTCGCAATCTATTGAAAACAAGCGCAGGTAATGCCCTCAACAGGCCCCGAGGGAGCTCCAAGACTGGACTGGACTGGAAGAAGAAGAAGAAGCCGCGCACACGCCGCGTCGGCAGAAAATTGTTCAAGAACGGGTGCCACTAAAAATTGGGGAAATCTGACTGCTACCTGCATGCGCGCTGGAACACAGCCACTGAGTTCGCAACAATACATCCGCGATCTCCGTGCAAAGGGGAGAGGCAGGAGGGAGAAGGGGGAGGGAGGGAACACTAGGAGGCACAGGAGGATAATGATGAGTGCGAGGAGGGCATTGAGCCCTTGTGCAAGGTCACCGAAAACAGAACAATGCTCAGAGGGCGTCACACTCTGCGTGACTGACATGGTCAACTCCCCCAGAGCGGCGACTTCTCCTCACTCTGCGGGATCTCGCAGTCCTTCTTGTCCTTTTTCTTCGGGGCGTACAGCATGCCGAGGAACGGGAATCGAGCGTCCACGCGCTTCTTGTAGTCCTTGTACACCTCCCCGTAGTAGGCTTCGTAGTCTGGTTCTTCCAAAAAGAAGGTGACGAACTCGATGTAGGCGTGTACCGGGACGACGAACGCCAGACGATTCCACGTCATCAGGGGCGTGATGTATAACTGCATCATGAGAGAGAGCATGAGAGGGTGTCGGACGACGGCATAGAACCCGCGCTCGGTGAAGGGGAGCACCAGGCCCGCGAACTCGGGCACCGGTGCCTGGGCCGCGTCTTCGGGCGCGATGCTGGGGAGCCCGAAAGTCCCCTGGTGCACCTTCAGGTCAAAGGACATGTAGATCCCCAGGTGCTCCATGACGTCGACGCAGTGGATTGCCACGTTTGAGAGGAGGACGTTGTTGCAGCACTGGAACGCGTAGAACCACCACGCGTACTCCGAGAGATCCCATATCGGCTCGAGATCAGAGAGGACGGGCTGCCACAGAAGCATCAGAGCGTAGAGCTCCACGAGAGTCTGGGTGATGTATATGCTGCGGTACGTTTTCCCGAAGATGGGCAGGAGCCTGCGCTTCGCAGACCCGCGAGGGAGCACCGAGTGAGGGACCATCCACGCCAGGAGCATGGCCAGGTTGATGGCCAGCTTCGCCCACAACGACTCCGCCAGAGGGGGCACCAGGCACCCGGCCTGCCCGGCCGCGCCGCAGTCGATGCTGAGTCCCTGCAGGAAGCCCGGAAGAAGGTTCGGGGCCGTGTTCAACCACACGGCCCACAGGTAGCTCCAGGGCACGACCGCTGCGGCCGTGACGACGCCGAACGACTTCACCGGGCAGCCCATGACCTCCCGCACGCTCGGCGCGGGGCCCCGTGCACCAGGACGGCGACGAGCCCCTCGGAGGCAGGCAACAAAAACTTGAGCCAGCTAGCAGAACATCTTACTGTTGAGCAGGGACCGGCCGTCCCGGCATTCCTACTATAGTCCTACCACGGAATTTTCTTAGAACCCCAAAAATGGCCTAAGAACAGAACCATGACCTCCCCTTTGGTGCGTGATGACCAGAACCTCGAAGCGAATCCAGCGGTGGCGACAAGGGCCTCCCAGGAGGGCGAAAGGAGGCGAAGACGAGGCAGCGGCAGCGGTATGGGTGCCCTGCTCCTCCTCTGTGGCACGGGCCCTTCCGACTGGCGGCGTCCGGGGCTGGCCGCCGCAGAGAGGCGGCGCGCCGGCACCGCACGCACAGGCCGACAGCGGAGCCCACGGCCCCCAGCGCCCGGCCTGCGCGCGACCAGGAGAAGGCCGAATTCGGTGGCAACTCGCGGGAGCCTCCCATACCGTCTGATCGGCTCCTGCGAATCGACGCTGGTCGACGCTCAGTCGACGCTAATGGACGCTAGCCGACGCTAAATCGGCGCTACCTCATCGACTCCCAGACGCTCGTCGACGCTAGCCGACGCTAAAGACGGAATTGGGAGGGTATGCAAGGCTCCCATGGTCTGCTGCCGAAGCCGAGATCTCCGTCTTGGGCGTACGAGTTGGTCGCACATCGCACTGCGTGGTCCGCTCGCGCTGGGATGCGATCCCTGGTCCGGGGTGGGCGGTGTGGCACGTGGCAGCGAAGGGCTCAAACGCTGCACCAGGCTGGGATCGCTGAGATCCCCCTGATCGCGCTCCCCCTCGTCCCCATGATCATGCTCATCATCATCATCATCATCATCATCAGCAGCAGCAGCATCATCATCATCATCGTCATCATCAGCAGCAGCAGCGTCATCATCATCATCAACATCATCATCAGCATCAGCATCATCTTCGTCATCATCATCATCAACATCAGCATCATCATCATCAGCAGCAGCAGCGTCAGCATCATCACCATCGTCCTCTACTGTATTCCTCCTGCTCCTTGCCAGCCCTTCCTCCGTATCATGTTTTTCGTCTTGCGTCGCTGCTGCCCCGCTCCCTCTCCTTCTCCTCCTCCTCCTCCTCCTCCTCCTCCTCGTGTTCTTACCCCCATCATCCTCAACATGGTTCAAGCCCACCTCCTCCTCCTCCGCCTCCTCCGCCTCATCATGTTCGTTATCTCCTCTTCGCTTTCTCTCGTGCTTCTCAGCGTGGAGTATTGGCCCCCTCCTCTTCGCTTCCTCCTCCAGATATCCGCCACACTGCCTCTGGCTCATGTATGGGGTGGCCCGGCCTTAGTGCAGATGTGAGACCAGTTGGATTGGAAGTGCTGTGTAGCTGTTCAAGGCCTGGACAGACTTCGCGATCGCTCCTGGGCGCTCACGACGTTTCCCTCGTGGCCCTCTGGGGCGCGAGACCACGCAAACCGACTCCAGGCATCTTGGACTCTGTTGGGCGCCTCTTGGTCCGTCTTTGAGACATTGAGGAGAGAGCAAGGAATCATAACCATTGGAAAACAAATCGATTACGAGAAGGGCGCGGAAAAGCTCCAACATGGCCCTCCCCAGTGTTGCCACAAAAGGTTCCCAATAGGCATCGCGGTCCGCTGGCGGTGACGCAATGGCGCCCGACATTCCACCGAGAAGGCGTTCCAGAAGGTGGGGAGTGCTGGTGGTTCGCCAGAAGCTGCGTCGATCTGATTAGTCCTCCTGCCCGCGCCTGTGTACTCGCTACTCCTGCTATTGCTCCCGCTCGCCCTCCTCCGTCCCATTTCCTCGGGCACCAGACGCGTCCGTAGGTTGACCCGTGCGTTTCGCTTGAGACTTCCTCGCAATCAACTGCCCCGAACCTCAAGACAAAGCCAGCAACTAATCGGATAGAGGCCAAATCCTTCTAAAGATGGGGATCTTACCTTAACGCCGCGGACCTTCCTCTTGGAAGTGACAAACATTGTACGGTATACGGGTGGAGCCCGATTCCTTTTCAGAATCGGGCTCCCGCCTCAGCGCCGCGAGCATTCGCCTCAGAAGGCTGAACCACTCAAACGGATGAAGGCTAGTGCCTTTTCAAGGTCTGGCTCTCGCCATCGCAGCGTGTGCAGAACTCTTCAGCGCTTGCAGCGTTCACGCGGACGGAGGGGGCGTTCTGTTCGAAATGTGGCTTTCCCTTTAGCGCTGCGCTGTCGAAAAGCTGGCAGTACACCGATAGAGGAGGCGTCATTTCCGAAACGTGGCTCTCCCCTTACAGCTGGGTCCGTTTGTCTCAAAGCGTGTAAACCAATGCAACAACTACATTAATGGCGGGCGGCTCCATTCCAAAATGGGGCTGTCACCTGAGAGTACCTCGAACTGAATGACCAGAAGCTTGAATATGAGCAGCTGCACGGATGGCGGCGGTCCTTTTCCAAAGGGGCTCCCGCGCCAGACCTGCTCGGATGAACGGCTCGAACGGAGAAAACGAGTGCAACAGCAGAACGGATGGGGGCGGTTCCTTTTCAAAACAAAGCGCTCGCTGGAGACCCAGCTAGGGTTCATGATCCTACCTAGTCGCACTCCGCCGACCCATCGGTCGGAAGGAGCAGGTCGAAGCACGAAGCAGGAAAGCGCTGACTTGTCTGGGTGTCCGCCCGTTTCCGGAAGAGAGGACGGAAAAAGAGGTGAAGCCACTCGAGCATTGCAGCAGAGAGGGGCTCAAAGTAGACTGGAACCTGGGACTCCAGAGTATACCCGCTCCCAACGACCGATGGGCAACCCGCTGGCAGGATGCCAAAGCGCTCGCTGGAGACCCCTGTGAGGCCTTCTGACCCCACCCGGCCGCACTCTGCCCGCCCAGCGGTCGGAGCACGGAGCAGGTCGGAGCACGGAGCAGGAAGGCGCCGCAGGGCAGTCTGGGTGTCCGCCCGCCGCCTCCGCCGGCAGAGGACGGAGAAAGAGGGGGAAGCCACTCGAGCACTGAAGCCAGGAGGGCGCCGGAAGCAGACGGGAACCCGGGGCTCCAGTAGTGAGTATCGGTCCACCGATGCCCATACCCAGCGGCGTGGCCTGGGCCTCCCTGGCCGATTTTTCCCCCCCCCGGATGGGGATGTGGGTCGGTCCCTGCGGGTTTCGAGGGGTGGATCCCCAGCTGGGGGGGTAAGCTGGTGGGGGTCTCGGAGTGGATGGGGATGGGGATGGGGGTCGGACAAACGATGCCGAAACAGATACCCGCTCACAACGACCGATGGGCAACCCGCTGGCAGGATGCCAGGCGGCTCTTCTTCAATCCGGGCCTTCGCCCGACTGGCAAGTCCATCCGCAGGGCGCCCGCCCTCCACCGGGGCCTCCGCCCTTCCCTCCGCAGCCTCATCCCACCCTGGCTCTTGAGATCAGCAATGACTCATCATCCTCCTGGGTTCCTCCTCCTCCTCCTCCTCCTCCTCCTCCTCCTGCGTCGACCCCCCTCTTGATGTTCATCATCGTCCTGCGTCGTCGCCCCCACTGTTCTTCCTGCCACTCAAACGTCTTCTCTCAGCGGGCCTGATCCACGGACTTCAGCAGAACTCTCAGGCACTCGTAGGTCATATTGGTCACGGTGTCCTCCGAGCAGGAAGACGGCGGCAGCGGCGAGGAGACGGGGAGGTATCCGGAAGAGGCGGCCGAAGAGAAGGAAACGCTGGAAAGGCAGGGAAGGGAAGGAGGTGAGGGGCGGACGAGGGGGAGGAGCGGGAGGGGGAGGTGCAGGTGGACCAGAGGAAAAACCCGGAGAGGAAGGAGAGGACGAGAGGCGGAGGGGAAGCAGGGGAAGGAGAGAGAGAAAATGCATGAGAGGGCCAGGGGCAAGACGCGGAGCGTCCACCGTCAAGTGCCCCTCTGCTTGTGGATCAGCTTTCTCCAAGGTGACCCCCTGTGATGCCCCCCTGCCCTTACAAAGGCGAGAAGAGGATCCACCTATAGCCCCGCGTGTCCCCAAACAGGCCCCAATCGGCTACACGCAGGAGTGACCCTGAGCAAGAGTGACCTTCGGTGCACGGCTTAACGGGGGACGCGGGGTGGCCAAACCTGGGCGCGCAAGCCGCTGCTACCGCTTTCTTCGCGTTCGGCGATCGGGGAACCCCATTGGGCCCGCATACAAGGTCACCCCTGCGAAGGGATCGTTCTTACGTCTAGCCGATCCAAAAACGATCCCTAACGTTGCCACACGCAGCGAAGGCCTCTTGTTGTCGACTCCCTGTTCGTGCCCTTCTGCTGTCACGAGCAGCCTGGGAGTCCATCACCACAGAGGCCTTCGGCCGGCGCGCCTAAGGGCAGCAGTCCAGTCGGGCGGGTGGCATAGCAGACCCATATCATAAGGATGCGCGGTAAGGCAAGGGCCTTGGGGGGCTATGTTCGGGTTTTTCGAACGAGGATGGCCAGCGAAAGTCGCACAGGATGGGCCGAAGGGGCAAGAATGCAAGGGTGCCCTTGGGAAGGTTGCCAATCCTTACTATGCGGGTTGATTGTAATGGGGGTGGCCTGCATGGGGGGCGAAGAAAAATATCCCTAATGGGGCCATTCAGGGCCCCTTTGGGGTAACAGCTGGCTCCAAAAAGGGCCCTAGAGGGCCCCTTGAGGGTCCTTTTCTTCACCCCCCATGTGGGTCACCCCCCATGACTACCCGACCAGTCCAGGTCAGAGGAGAACCTGGGACATGGGGAGTGTGAAGGAGAAGGGGCTACCCTCCCCATCCTTTCTCCATTGTTCTTGCATGTCTATTCTCGCCCGCTCCCCCTCCTTCTGCATGTCCCTCTCCCCATCTTCCTTGTACACACGTCATCGCTATCCTCCACTGCTTGTTCCCGTTCCCCCATTCTCCCTCATTTTTCTCCAGCGGCGAAACTCTGCTTTGGCGCGCCAAATCGTGCCTCGGTCACGGAATGCTCCCTGTACGATCGCTGAGAGCCGCACGTCGCATGTAAGAACAACATTGCACCATTCAGGACAGACCTCGCGGTAATGCTCCCCTTTCCCTCGTCCTCCCCCCCCCCTCCATATATCACTCACTCCCGCCTTCCGGTGTTTTCTACGTTTGCGCCCGCTTCCGCGGATCTCTGCGCTGCTCTTGCCAACCTCGTGTCTTTTTTCCCAAAGCAAGCGTGCCGTGGGCAATCACAGGCCGACGTCTTCTGGGATCTGTTCAGAATACCCGCTAGCGCCAAAACTCTGCACGCATGCATATGAGCGCGTGTGCATAACACGGTATGCCGCCACACACCTCGACGTCATGTGGTGAAAGTTTTGAGGCGCGCAGAGAGCTCGAGCCGGTTGGGCCCCGAGAAAATCGGTCAAGAGGGGAGGAATGTAGGCAAATCCGCGCAAAATGGGTCCCTGGACCCCTCCCAAGGTCTACCTGGTGCACTTCTCCCACCCCAGATCCGTGTTTGAAGGTCCTGGCTGGGGCGCGAACATGGCCTCTGGAGACAAAAAAAAAAAGGCAACAGACCTTCTCGAATCCAGAACCTCGAACCTCCCCCGCCCTTCTTGCTGGCAGGAACCAGTGCTGTGCCGCCTCAGACCCCCAGCCGGCTCCAAGTGGAAGCCATGTTGTCCCCTCTGCCCCCACCACGTGGCCGATTGTCTGCTGCCCACGCAGTACCCAGCAGCCGATTGGAGCTGTCCTTTGCCCTCGTCTCCTCCCGTCTCCTCCCCTCCCCGCTCTCGCCTCCCGGGGGCGGAGCGCCGGCTAGCCCCGCCGGCGTTGGCCTGCTCTCCGCCCCATCTGCCTGTCTACTTGGTCCTCGCTAAACCCCGGATGCTCGAGTTCCAGATGCCTACGACCTGTCAGGCGGAGGATGCTGTGAGCTCAATCTCCTCCCCTCGTCGCCCTCCCCTCCTCTTCCCTCCCGTCTCCGGTGCCTACTGGATTCCCCCCCGCTTCGCGGGAGAGGCCCGTCCAGTAGCTTTCTGCGTGCCTGTTCGGGGAGTCCTCCAAGAATCTCTCCAGGATGTCTCCACGGGTGCCTTCGCGTCGACTTTGCAGGAGGCCATCCGCCTCCTGCAAGAACGGCAGCGCGAAAGTGATGTGGTGGGATCGTTTTCCGCCACCACCACCACCATAAGTAAAAGGGGGAGGGGCTCCTCCTCCTCCTCCTCCTCCTCCTCCTCCTCCTCCTCCTCCTCCTCTTCGCTCTCCTCCTCCTCATCCTCCACCTCCTTCCTCCCTCCAACTTATGGTGGTGGTGGTGGTGGGAACAGGCCCGTCATGATACTGCGGCTGTCGCGTCGCCCCCCAGATTCCCTGTCTAGTTGTGTATGTTCGTATGTTTCCCTGGTCCAGGCTAGTATCATGGGATGTGTTGCTGCATGGGCTGGAAAGATCGGTCAGCGTCGAATCGGGAGATCGGATCGAAACGGAATGCGCGCGTCGTATCGGGCTGCATCGGCACGGAGTCGGAATTTAAGATGCACAACAGCGTCATGTAAATATCGAGCCGCATCGGATCGTCAGAACATCGGAATCGAATGGGACCGAGCTGGCCCAAATCGATTTCGAATCGGACCGATCGGATCCAAATTGACCCTGCGCCCCTGGTCTGGGGGGCCACTCTCCTGGGATCCGTTTCTGGATGGTCTGGTGGTGATGCGCCAAGCGTCTACAAGAGAGCCCCCATTGGAGCCCAGGAGGCCCCCAACACGGCCCCAAGAATGCCCAATAACCCACCAAGAAGGCCCCAAGACGGCCCAACCGGCCCCAGAGCGCCACGCGACGCCCCCGATAGCCGCCCGAGACGGCCTCCGAAAGCGCAAGACTGGACAAGAGCGCCCTGAGAAAGCCTGGAAGGCCCCAAAGAGCCCCCTGAGAGTCTCCCAGGAGCCCCGAAGAGGTCCCAGGGTACGCCGACTTTTTCGTCGCAGCCCGGCAGAGGCAATCCGCACGGTCGCTCGAGTTGCCGGGGACGCGCGACAAGCTTGCTGCCTGGCAGGAAGAGAGGGCGCGCGGGAGGAGCCAATGCGCGTCATCATGCCGCTTCCTGCTTGGCTTCCTCCTCCTCCCCCACACCCGCTCCCACCCTTGATCGTCGCCCTCCTCCTCCTCCTCCTCCTCCTCCTCCTTCTCCTCCTCCTCCTCCTCCTCCTCCTCCTCCTCCCTCCTCCTCCTCCTCCTCCTCCTCCTCCTCCTCCTCCTCCTCCTCCTCCTACGACTCCTCCTCCTTCTCCCCCTCCTCCTCTTCCTCCTCCTCCTCCTCCGCCTCTATTGTCGCGAGACTGCGGGCTGGTTTCCCAGAGAAGGGCCTGCCGTGGCCTCCGCTCCGCGGGCTCACGGTGTCGCGCACATCACGGGAGGGCCTGCCTCGCCGAGAGGGGGCCGCAGCTGCAGTGATTCGTGCAGCCATCTTCGCCAGTGGAAGGAGGAAGCTCCTCCTCCTCCTCCTCCTCCTCCTCCTCCTCCTCCTCCTCCTACTCCTACTCCTCCCTACTCCTCTTCTCCTCCTCCTCCTCCTCCTCCTCCTCCTCCTCCTACGACTCCTCCTCCTTCTCCCCCTCCTTCTCTTCCTCCTCCTCCGCCTCTGTTGTCGCGAGACTGCGGGCTGGTTTCCCGGAAAAGGGCATGCCGTGGCCTCCGCTCCGCGGGCTCACGGTGTCGCGCACATCACGGCAGGGCCTGCCTCGCCAAGAGGGGGCCGCAGCTGCAGGGATTCGTGCAGCCATCTTCGCCAGTGGAAGGAGGAAGCTCCTCCTCCTCCTCCTCCTCCTCCTCCTCCTCCTCCTCCTACTCCTACTCCTCCTCCTCCTCCTCCTCCTCCTCCTCCTCCTCCTCCTCTACTCCTCCTCCTCCTCCTCCTCCTCCTCCTCCTCCTCCTCCTCCGCCCTCTCCTCTGCCTTCTCCTCCTCCTCCTCATCCTCGTCGTCCTCCTCCTCCTCCTCGTCCTCCTCCTTGTTGAGACCTCGGGGGCCCTCCTCGATTCCCCTCTGCTGGCCTGCTGGGGGGCGCATGCAGCCTGGAAGAACCTCGGCAGTGCGCGCGGACTTCTTGGTCGGCGCTGGGCCCCCTCCCCTGGCGCGCGGACCGCGCCAGTGGCACAGAAGTCCTAACGAACGCGGAGGTCTCCCCCGAGCCAGAGCGTGGGGCTGCTGTGCAGAGCAGGCGCGATCGGCCGGCCCCGTGGCGGCCACGCGGCCCGAGCGGCCAAGGGCAGACCAAGGCGCTTCCGACCTGGATGTTGCCCCGCCGCCCTGAGCCGACGATGGCAAAAAACGTCCGGACTGTCCAAGCGGATGCCGAGTGAAGCCAGCACCGTCGGACGACACGAGAAAGCGGAGACCTAGGCAGAGGAGCGCAACTGCGGCGAACGTGCACGCCCACTCGCTCAGGTATGCGATCGAGGCGCCCTGGAAGTGCGCCCTCTGGATAAAGATTCGAAAAAGGTGCACGAACGAGGGTCTGCAAATGGAGGCCACCTTCGCCGTGCAATCACAGTGCGCCCGCCGCCAGACAAGTTGACGGGAAAAGGGGGGGCATCGCGTGAGCCAGAGCCGCCAGGAAGCTCAGATGACCATGGCCCCGACGCTCGCCGTGTCGGAATCGGCCTCGCTCCCGGCCTCGGGGTCGTACAGCTTGGGGGCGCAGCTCTGCACCACAAACGTTGGCGCGCCTCCAATGTCATGGTACAGCACGGGGTCTCCCTTCCGATGGGCCCATTTTCCACCACCAACAGTACATAGGTGGGAGTGGGAGGAGGGGGAGGAGGAGGAGGAGGAGGAGGAGGAGGATGAGGAGGAGGAGGAGGAGGAGGAGGAGGCACGGCTACAGGATGACCATGACCGCCATCAGCAGCAGCAGCAGCAGGAGGAGAACGAGGCGGAGGAGGAGGAGAAGGAGGAGGAGAAGGAGGAGGAGGAGGAGGAGGAGGAGGAGAGGAGGAGGAGAGGAGGAGGAGGAGGAGGAGGAAGAGGAAGGAAAGGAGGATGAGGAGGAGTAGGAGGACCTCCCCATCCTCCAGTCCTGCCTATGGTAGTGGTGGTGGAACATTGGCCCATCACCTTCGATGTCTTCAGGGCGAGCTCTTCCCTGGGGGCGCAGACCAAGATCTCGCTGCACAGGCTCTCCGCGCAGGCCTGCTCCTCCAGGGCCTGCATGCACGCTCTGCTCAGGTGCACCTGCCCCGTCGGGGCGGTGGACTCCAGCAGCTCCAGGACCGTCAGCAGGTGGCCGAAGAGGTGGTACCGCTTCATCTCCACGCCGACGACGCCACCGACGCAGCCGCCAGTGTGGACGCCGACCCGGCAGTCGAGAGGGACGTCCCTTTCGCGCGACCAGCTCCTTACGGCTTGCACGATCTCGACCGCAAAGACGACCACGCTGATGGGCCTGTAGACCGATGTGAGCGGCCGAGCCGCCTGGCCAGCAATGTAGGCGTCACCGACCGTCTCTATCTTGCAGATCTTGTAGACGTCGCTGAGGTCGTCGAATCGCCCGAAGAGCTCGCTGACCAGCTCCACGACCTCCGTGGCCGTGCGCGTGCTCGCGAGCGCCGTGAAGCCCACGAGGTCCGAGCAGGCGATGGTGGCTTGCTGGTAAGAGTGGGTACACTCCTCGGGCAGCGCTGCAGTGGGGGTCAGCCCACAAGGAACCTTCTTCAAGAAACCCAACCCTGAAACCCAAGGACGTCCGTCACTGTTTGGTGTGGGAGTGTCACATCTTCCATCGCAAAACCATCGAAACCCAAGAAACCCAGGGCACCCTGGAGGCAAGCAGGGCGTCTCTTGGCATGGGCCCCCACTGTAAGGGGGGTCATCGCCAGAGGGTGGCCACCTCCTTCAGGGAACGAGCCCCCCCCCCAGGTCACCCCAGGACCCCCGAAGGCGTACGAGAACGTCCCAAGCCTGCTCGGTTCTTCGGCCCTCCTGGAGGGACCTCTCCCGGGGTGCGTTCTGGCCAGAATTTCGAGGCGAACCCGGCGGTGCCGACGAGGGCCTCCCAGGAGGCCCAACACGGCGAAAGCGAGGGAAGGGCAGCGGTGTGGGCACTTTCTCCTCATCGGCCCTCCCCCATTCCTCGATCTGCAGATTTTCCAAGAGGACCGGGCCACCTTCGGTGGCAACTCATGGGAGCCTCCCGTGCCATCTTGTCGGCTCTTGCGAATCGACGCTGGTCGACGCTGAATCGACGCTAATCGACGCTACATCGACGCTAACCGACGCTAAACCGACGCTGAATCGGCGCTATCTCATCGACTCCCAGACGCTAATCGACGCGAGTCAACGCTGAGGATGGAATAAAGCGGGTCTGCCAGGCCCCTATGATTTGCTGCCGAACCACTGTATCCCCCCTTTCGTCCGACCCGAGGATGGGGCCCGTGTGCCAGCAGAAGGAGCGCAGGAGGAGGAGGAGGAGAAGGAGGAAGAGGAGGAGGAGGAGGAGGAGGAGGAGGAGACCGAGGTGTGGAGGAGGAGGGGAGGAGGAGGGGAGGAGGGGGATGAGGAGGAGTAGGAGACAGCAGGAGGGGGAGAGGAGGAAGAAGAGCATGGTGGCGGTGCCCGACCCCCCGGTGGTGGCCCCCCCCCTTGGCAGTGCCCGAGCTCCAGGCTCTTGTGCCGCAGGCTCACGCTCCGAGAGGCCTGCCGCCGGTTGAGCTGGTCGGCCACCAGGGGGGGGACCAGCTGGCTCAGGATCGAGTCCATGCGGTGCTGCACAGACTTCACGTGCCTAAGGCGAAGCCACCTCCTCCTCCTCCTCCTCCTCCTCTTCTTCCTCCTCCTCCTCCTCCTCCTCAGGATCGGGCGCTGCGTACAGTCATCCCATGTCCTAAAATGAGCGATAACGATGCCAGGGCCTTGGAGGCCAATATTAACGTTTTTCGAACGAGGTTGGCCAGCGACAGTCGCTAGCGATGGGCCGAACGGGGAAGGATGCAAGGGTACCCTCGTGAAATTTGCCCATCCTTACTATGCGGGTGACTGCAACGGGAATGCGTTCTAGATGGGGTCGGAGTAGATGGGGTCGGAGGATCGCGCCGCATCGCCGATGCATCGGCGATGCATCAGCGATGCCTCAGCGATACCCCAGCGATGAATCACTGACGTCGGCGATGCATCAGCGACGTCGACGTGAAACAAATCGGGCTCCACATCGAGCCGCGTCGCTGATGCATCGGCGATGCGGCGCGATCCTCCGACCCTATCTACTCCGACCCCGTCTACGAGGCCTGGAAAGACGCAGCCAGGATCGGGCGCTGCGCAATGGGGAACGAGCGATACTTAGGAGGAGAGTGCGGCAAGGTGCACCCCTCGTGCACATCAGGGATCCTGAAAGGGCCCCCTGGGGCCCAAGAGGGGCACGGAAGGCTCACGTTTTCTACCCCCTCTCCTCCTCCTCCTCCTCCTCCTCCTTCTCCTCCTCCTCTCCTCCTCCTCCTCCTCCTCCCTCCTCCTCCTCCTCCTGCGCCTCCTCCTCCTCCTCCTCCTTCTCCTCCTTCTCCTCCTCCTCCTCCTCCTCCTACCCTCCTCCTCCTCCTACTCCTCCTCCGCCTCCTCCTCCTCCTCGTCCTCCCCCTCCTCCTCCAACCCACCCCCACTCATCGCCCCCCCCATGACTAAGCAACGCCCGACAAGACCGAAACATAATCGGACCGGGACAACCCAAAAATCTCTGAGATCTGGCGAACTGTTCGCCGCAACCGTTCTAGAGCGCTCCAGAACGCTATGAGAGCGGTCCGGTATACCCTGGAACGGATTATCCAAGTCCTAGCCCCGCCCAGGTGCCTCTCCGCCTTGAATCGGTCTCTGTCTTGAGTCTCATCTGCGCCGGCAATCTGGATTCCCATCAAGCCCATTATAAATATGCTGACAAGCTGCACGGAGCTTGCAAGGTTGCGAACAGCCGGAAACGCAACAGAAAGAACGAGCGGCGCTATCAGCGAGAAGACCACGAAACAGACTGTGGGCCCCAGCCGTAGTTGCAAGCTCAGCACCGTTACCCCGTACCACAGGAGAAACATCAACTGCCACATGGGTAGCCTGAGGGGCTCTCTCAGAAGCTTATCCCTGGCCTCCAGGGCGCTCAAATCCTAAGGAAACCAAAAGGTACGGTTACCGCTACTCCTCGGACCTCTCCTGGGGTACGTTCTGACCAGAAATTCGAAGCGAATCCAGCCGTGGCGACGAGGGCCTCCCAAGTCCCTGGGGCCTCCAAGGGAGGAAACGATGCACGGGTAGCGGTATCAGTACCTTTTCCTCCTTCGAAGTCCAGGCTGAAGCCGTCGACGACGGGCTCCACGAGCAGACCGTAGGCGGTGAACTGCAGGGCCAGCAGGGCGCAGGCGTGCGCCAGACGCCATAGCTCCGCCGCTCTCGGCTCCCGGATGATCCAGTCCTTGTGCCGCGCGACGACGCGCCACCGAAACATCAGCGCGAGCAGCACGGCGCGCATAACCAGGAACAGCCTCAGGGGGGCAACAAAACTGCGTAACAATCGGAGCGATGCGAGGCGAGGATTTATCCATATCCACCGCCTCGGAACCAACGTCATGGAGCTCAGCGGGCGGTGGATATTGATATATTTTGGCCCCCGGGGCCCGAACCGAATATATCCATATCCACCGCCTGCCGAGTTTCTCGAAAATTGATCCTCCAGGCGGTGGTCATGTATACATCCCCGCCTCGGAAGTGAGGGGGCCGAGCGGTCTTACACCATCCTTGGGTGCGTGGCCGAAGTAGGGTTCTGCGGCGCGGATTCCGCCTGGTGTTGTCGTCGTCCCCCCCGCGCGACCCACCCGCGACCCTCTCGCCACCCACCCGCGACCCACCCCGCGACCAACCTCCCGACCTACCCGACATTCACACGCGACCCACCCGCGACCCACCCCGCGCTCGCCCCCTCACTCTTACCTGCAAATGCGGGGTGCTGCGTAAACGTTCGGAGGTCAGCGCAGATCTCTTGAATCGGCGGTGGGCTCCCCCAGAGCGCGCCAGGGGCGTCGCTGGAGGCGCCGCCAGGGGGGCCCAGCGCAGATCCAAGAAGCCCGCGCACAACTCCGAAAAGTGACATTGATGCAGCTTGTTGTTCCTCGAGTCCTGGTCCGCTTCACGCCGAACACGTCCTCCATGCGAGGCTGCAGCAGCTCCGCCGCGAGAGCCTCCGCTGCAGTGAGCACGATCATCACGGCGGCGACCCGGTCTGAACGCCGCCCCAGGTGGCTCGCAAGGCGGAAGTAGTAGAACTCCCGAAGCCATTCTATGTCAATGTCAGCCTCGTCGCCGACGAGCGTGCCGCTGCGGACAGCTTGCACCACCCCGCGTCCGAGCCTCTTCAGACGAGCTTCCCAGTCCGAGCAGATCCAGGTACAGGCACTGGTGCAGCCAGTCACCGCATCCTCCTGCTCCGCGCTATGATGATCGTCGGGGACCTCGCTGTCGGGAGGCATGATACTGTCCAGACTGCCCCTCTTGGCCTTGCGGAGCCCGTAAGAGCGCATCTGTTCCCAGGCCTTAGCCTCGGAGCCTTCACCCAACCTGTCCAGGAGGTACGCGTCCACCTGGCCCTTCCCCTTCATCTCGACCTTCCCCCTGGAACTGTACCTTGCCCAGCTGGGCATGCACGCCCGAGTCTCCTCCCCAAACTGGAGCTCGCCGTCGACCCCCTTCTGCATCATCCTGGCGGCGGTGTTCATCGTGTCCCCGAACAGACGGAACCTGGGCAACTTCTGCCCGATCACGCCTGCGACGACCGGGCCGGTGTGCAGCCCCATCCGGAACCGGACGCCGGTCAGGGGGTCGCCCAGGTCACCTTCCTGCCACATGAATATGCCCAGCGCCGCCACGATCAGGTGGCTCAGCACCTCCTCGTGCTCGTCAACCCCGTTCGAGTAGTCCTCTGGCTTCACGCCAACGGCGGCGACGTACTCCTCGCCCACTGTCTCGATTTTCGTCACCTCGCAATCAAGACATATACGATCGATCTTGCCGAAGAGGGTGTTCAGGAAGTCCAGGAGCTGATCCGGCGTCCGCCGGCTCATGTGACCATCGAAATCAGAGATCACCAGAAACAACACGGACGCCTTTGGGATCTGCTCTGCAGTGGTGGCGTCGGGGTGCTTCAGCATCCGTGCAATTGTGTGGTCTGGGAGGAAATCCTGGAGCAGATCGAGGAGCTTCCTACTGGCGTCCGCCTTTCGATGGTAAAGCAAGTCTATGTACTGCTGCTGCACTTGCATCTTGTACTTCTTGTAGGCAGCCATCACGGTGGCGGCACTGAGCAAAATAATGGCAACCATCACATCGACCCAAGTGTAATACCCCAGCTCAGTCGCGTAGAGGTAGATGGAAGACGCTGCGAGGTACCCCGCCACAAACAGCGCCACGAACAGCAGCATCGGCTTCAGCTCGGGCACAATGTGTGGAGACATACAAACTATGGCCATGGCCGTCACCGAGGACGTCAAGCCCTGTGGGCCGCAGCCCTGCTGGTCGGACCGCCACCAGTCCTTCTGGGGATTCTGTGGGCGGACAACTCTTGCCATGGCTCGGACGTCCACTCCCCGTGGGTGTCTCGATTTCGTGCGTGCTTGTTTTGACCAGATGATCCAGGATGCTCCTCGATGGTCCCCGCCGAAAAAAAGGACACGCCCGAGCGATGCCAAGACAAGGGGGGGGCAACAGAAGGGGAGCAAAGCGAATCCGCTCACGTTCCTGGCTTCCCCGATGCCAGAGGCGGCCACGCATCGAGGCAAGCGCCCTGCGGTGGGGCAGAAACCAGCTGCGCAGGACATTGCGCACCAGATGTTCCCCGCTACACAGTGAAGGCCAAAGGAGTGGCTCAGTTCCTGGGAAGATCGGGCGCCGACAGGACTGGGTTTAGTGGGACCTGGCTTAGTGATGTACACCAGGGGACGCGTCCCCGCCCCAATCCACTAACGCAAACTATCGCCACCCAAAGGAACACCAGCTACGGCAGGACTGGATTAATGATTCTCGTGCATTTGTGGGGCTTCGGGGCCCAAGCTCTGACCAGCTCCCCTCGCCCGGAGTCCTGGCTACACGGTCGGAAACTTCTGCCTGGCGTGTCGCCCCCGGCGGCCCCGGCGACACGCTGTGCCTTGCAAGCGGATGGCGTGCCGCTCCGCTCCGCGGGGCGGGAGGTCGGGAAGCGCTCGGGGCGCCGGCGCGGGGGGTGGGCAGGAAGTAGACGGCGTGTCGCGCCGAAGCGTGGTGGGCCAGAACCGGCGGTGAGACACGCCATCCCAGAGCTCCCCCCCCAGAGATCCGACGTCATGGTTCTTTCAATACGGGGTCCCCAGAAGTCTCGACCCATTCCCCAGGACCGGTTTTTCATCCTGAGTCGTTTTTTGGCGGTCCCAGGGCCCGGCGAGGGCCGCTAGAGGCCGAAAATCGAGAAAAACGTCCGTCTTGTTTTTTTCAATAATTACGTCGGAGGTCTGGGCCCGCAGCCGAGCAGCGCCTTGAGAGAGCCCCCTCGCCCGGCCCCGTCCTTGCCCCTCGCGCACTGCCGGTGGCGCCACTGGTCGTCGCACGAGGGCTCCTCGACCACACGCCAGGAGTGACCTCTGGACAGGAGCGGCCTCTGGCGTGCGGCTCTCTGGGGGCCGCGGGGGGGGAGGAGGAGGAGGAGGAGGAGGAGGAGGAGGAGGAGGGGAGGAGGAGGAGAGGAGGAGGAGGAGGAGGAGGAGGAGGAGGAGAGGAGGAGGAGGAGAGGAGAGGAGGAGGAGGAGGAGGAGGAGGAGGAGGAGGAGGGGAGGAGGGAGGAGGAGGAGAGAGGAGGAGGAGGAGAGAGGAGGAGAGGAGGAGAGGGAGGGAGGAGGGGGGAGGAGGGGAGGGAGGGAGGGAGGGAGGGAGGGAGGAGGAGGAGGGAGGAGGAGAGGAGGCGGAGGAGGAGGAGAAGAGGAGGAGGAGGAGGAGAAGGAGGAGGAGGAGGAGGAGGAGAGAGAGGAGAGAGAAGGAGGAGGAGGAGAGGAGGAGAGAGGAGGAGGAGGAGGAGAAGGAGGAGGAGGGAGGAGGAGGAGAGGAGGAGGAGGAGGAGGAGGAGGGAGGGAGGGAGGGAGGAGGGAGGGAGGAGGAGGAGGAGGGAGGGAGGAGGAGGAGGAGGAGGAGGAGGAGGCGGAGGAGGAGGGGGAGAAGAAAACATAACGGCATAAACATAAACATGTGGCGCCTCGCGCGGATCTCTTGGATCTGCGCCGGAATCGCTTCCAGCCGGAGGCGCCGCCAGGGGGCCCAGGTGCCGATGCGAAAAATACGCGAGGAGCGCCAAAAGTTTCAGTTTATGCAATTTTTTCTCATTCGAAACACTCAAGCGCGCAAGACGCTACTACCGCACCGCGGTCGGCGATCGAGGGACCCCGTGGGCCCGCACCAAAGGTCACTCCAGCGAAGGGTCACTCTTGCGTGTAGTCTAAGGTCGGGCATGTCCTCCTACAGGCGAATGTTGTAAGACATCTGAATAAAAAACAAAAATAATGCTCAAATAATCCACAATAGTCGAAACGTCGTCTCCAGACACTGTTTGACTATTCTCGAATATTCCTCTTGTAGGGGGACATGCCCGACTTTACGTTCGGCGGCGAGCGAGGGGGGGAAATGAGATGGAAAAGGCCTTCTCAGAAGGCGGCGGGACTTCGCAGAAGCCCTCGCGCCTCCTGAGGAGTTCTTTTTTATCTTCGGGCAAGGCTTGGAAAACTTTGTCAGAAGGCTGGGGGACGTCCGAACCTTCTGAGCAAGCCTTCTCCTTCTCACTGCCCCCTCGGGAGCGGCCAGGAGGGGGGCGTTCAAGAGGGGCGGGCGCAAATCATGGCCGTCGGCATGTGCGCGGCCCAAGGGGGGGATGGGGGGGGGAACGGGTACGTCTTGAAATAAGAGGCGGCGCCATGAAATCTGGGGAGATCTCATGGCCCCCGTCATGAGATCCTCCCCCCTAGTCATCCCCCCCCTCGTGGCCGCCCCCGACCCCCCCCCCCAGACACGCGACGTCCTGACTTTCTCAGGACGGCGTCCCTGGAACTCCCGACCCTTTCCCCAGGGACCAGTGCCTCGTCCCGAGCCGCTGTTCGACGGCCCCGAGGCCCGGCGAGGGCCCCTGGGGGGCCGAAAACGGCCCCGAGCCGCCCGTCCTCACTCCTCGACGGCGCGATCCACGCCTGGCCCCGCCCCCCCCCTCGCTCGCCGCCGCCACGTGCAGCCGGGTTCTTGGACGCCCGAGTTATCCGGGGTAACTCGGGTCCGGGGTAACTCGGGCTTGGGTTATTCCCGAAAAAGGAACCCGAGTTAGCCCTGACCCGGGTTACCCCTGATGACTCGGGGCTCTGGACGCCCGAGTTATCCGGGGTAAGTCGGGTCCGGGGTAAGTCGGGCTCGGAATCCCGAAAAACGAACCCGACTTAGCCCTGACCCGGGTTACCCCTGATGATTCGGGGCTCTGAGGCTCCGTGGGCAGGAGCGGGAAGGCGGCCGCGTAGAGCCCCAGGGCGAGCAGCACGCCGTAGTGGGCGCGCACGCTCGGGCGGCGCAGCCCCCGGGCGGCCAGCAGGCAGCCCGCCAGCACCGTGCAGGCCTCGGCCGCCAGGCTCGCCAGCGCGGCCGGCCCTTGCAGGGAGCGGGGGGGGGGGCGATCTGACCAGGGGCCCCCTCCTCCTCCTCCTCCCCCTCCTCCTCCTCCTCCTCCACCACCTCCTCCTCCTCCTCCTCCACCACCTCCTCCTCCTCCCCCTCCTCCTCCACCTCCTCCTCCTCCTCCTCCACCTCCTCCTCCTCGAGTTCTGAAGGGGTCGCAGCGGGGAGCTCTTCGCCAGGTTCGGCCCCGAGGGGGGCCCTCGCCGGCCCCCGGGGCCGTCCAGAAGCGGCTCGGGACGAAAAGCCGGCACTGGGGAATGAGGCCAGACCGCTGGGGGTCCACGTCATGCAAAGGAGGAGAAGGAGGAGGAGGATGAGGAGGAGGAGGAGGAGGAGGAGGAGGAGGAGGAGGAGGAGGACTGACTGACTGACTATGACTTGGATCCAACGTGTCGTCAACTGCCTCTGACACTACCTCTTGCAGTGCGGAATAAAAAACTTGCAGCATCAATCTGGATCTGTCGGGGCAAGCCCCCTCGCTACGCACAAGTGCGCAGGTGCCATTCAGCACTCTGGCACTGCACGCACCCTACTCCTGCGCTGGCAGGCTAGGGGCATGCGTGCACTCGGACATATAATTGTATGCAGCTGTCTTGCCTTTGCACGTTTAGCAGCGAACACTTTAACGTGCTCCTCTCAAGCACTGGCGGAAAAACCGGCGGTTGCATTTGAGAGGCGTTTTATTCCTCACTTACAGCCACGTGCTCCGGAACAGCGTTTCCGGAGCACGTTGGAATATCTATGCCGCTGTCTTGCCTTTGCCGCGCCTGCCTCGGCCTCGACTCTTACCTTTGTCCTGCCGAACAGGCTGGGGGCGAGGAGTGAGGAGAGTGGGGTCAACTGAGGATTGCAAAACTGGCGCTGGCTGACTAGGAGCAGGAGCGGCACTCAGGAAGCCCGCGGTCTCCAGAGCTCGGTAGCGCTGACTGTCGCGAAACGCGGGCGGCGCCGAGCGCGGGGCCCCTCGGCTCCGGCTGCTCTGGCTCAAGTCTGGCGTCACGAGTCGGGCTCGCGTCTGAACCTGTGGAACTGGTTCTCCCACGAGCTCCAGTATCACTTCGTCGTGTGGACGAGGCGGTTCAGCTTGCGCTGGAGTGGCCCCCGCGGTGCTGCGCCCAGCTTCCGCTGGCCTCCCTCTTTCTTGATATCGGCGATGATGATGTCCCGAATCAGCTTCATGTTGCGCTCGTGCAAGTCGAAGGAAAAGATTAGCCGCACTTTCTCTTTCTTGTTTGGGGCCTTGTTCTTCTTCGCCTGGAAGTGGGTGATGCAGCTGCCCAGCGTCTCCGACCCCTCCGCACAGACCACCGTGCGCCAGAACTCCTCGAGCACGCTCTTGGCTTCCGGGTCCACCAGGGTCGCCAGCCCTTTGATCGTCGCCGCTGCGATCACCAGGTGCGGCGGGCCGAGGGCCGCCGTGTCGGTCTGGCTGTCCACCATGTGTTGCTCCTTCAGCTCCTTGGCGTCGGCGTCGTATTGCTGGCCTGCTTGAATGGCGAACGTGGGGGGCGGCTTGGCTGCGACCATCTCCCAGGCCTCGTACACTGTGGCCTGCAGGTCCTGTGCGTCTTTGGCGACTACGAGCGCCAGCTTGGCCGAGGTAACCGCGATCTGCTCCACCCTGTCCCAGTCCTTGCCCTTGCCCGCGTCCATGCTCTTGAACTGCTTGTTGGGGTCGTTCTGGTCCGTCGCCGCCGCGAGCCCCCTCTTGCCCGCCCACGCTGGTCCAGTGGCGAAAGCGTCCACCATGGCTGCGCCCCCTGCTGTGCCTGATGCCGCCGCCGCCGCTTCGCCTGGCATCTTGTCGTGGGGCGCCGGCTGGGCGCGAGGCGGCCGCGGTCGGGGCCGAGGTCGGTCGGTGCGCTGGAGTCGGAGGCTGCAGAATTGTTCGGGGAAAATGGCTGCGGATGTGGGCAAAGAACTGTTGTTTGCCGTTGTCCGCATACCCGCATATTCGGCATCTCTGGTCAAAGTCCTCCGCTGGTTTCATCGTTCTGCTTCTTCTGTCCGAGGGGCATTGCCCACGCAGAAAGGCCTTCATAAGATGCCTGCCCGCTGCGCTCCGTTCTCCGAAGATCGTACCGCAATTTACACACTCATTGTTTATGGTCAGGAGGAAGGCGAGGTTGCTGAGCTGATGCTTGCTTCGCATATGTGACATTAATGCTTTACGCGATCGAAAGCACATCCCGCACACCATACCTTCACACTGTGATCCTGGGAGTGTCGGCGCAGGCACAGGCATGTTTGGCGGCGTCGGCGCAGCAACATCGTCCATGAGCTCGCATCTCCACGGCGCAATCTCTGACAGGACCGTCTCCTCCTCCGCTACGTCTGCTGCTGCTATACTAGAGCTAAAGCCTGGGGGTGGGATGGTGCGGGCTCGGTAGGCCTGGCGGAGCTCCTTGGGGTCCAGAACACGAAGGGCCTCCTGGAAATCAGACTCAAAGAAGTTACCTGGTTCTATATCGAGGTCTCCAATATTACTCGCAAAGCTGTCAGTGCGGCAGGCCTCCTCTAGGTCTTTAACGATTCGCTTAGCCCATTCGTTACACAGTGGGTGAAGCACACCATCATCACAGACCGTCGGTTCTGTCTCCAGCTCCAGCTGTCCGAAGAGAGCCGTCAGTAGCTGCTGATGCCGCGTAGGTTCCAACAGTACTTCACGAATCCATGAGAGACGTCTGACAGTGGCCTCCATCTGCAGTGGGAGAATACGCCAGTGCCTGAGAACCTCGTAACTGGTTAGACTTCGAGTCGATCCGTCCTCCAAGTGCCCTGTAGCCTGTCCCCTCATAGCTTTCCTGGCCAAACGTGCCACCGTCATAGTAAGTGTTCTGTACTCTGACTTCGTCGGGCAGTAGCTCTCTGTGCAACTGAGACCTGCGTTCACAACTTTGCATATGAGGACCGAACGTTTCCATGTACATGGGATCCCCGCTTTGAACCAAAATCCCCCCATCTCCTTGAAAGCCCTGATCATCGCATGCACACGTTGTTTCAGTTCTGGCCGTGTTTAGATGTGGTCCCAGATACCGTGCCGACTGTACCGTGCGCCCCGGGAGTACATGCTGCTTGCTCCTAAGCTGCCTGTACTGCGCAAACGATCCTGTCCCCTGTATCCTGACCATGCTCTCCTGTTTGTCCCGATTTTGATGCAGGCCGAACCTGATCAGTCTAGCGTCTAGCATCTCGGCTGCCTGGCGCGCTTGTCGTGCTAAATCCGCCGCGGGATGCTGCGCTATGCTGAGCAATATCTTCTGGAGGTCGTCTGCATACTTGAACAGGCCAAGGTATTGCGGCTTCTCAAAGAAAGGGCACTGTGCCTGCAATGCCTGATCGCACGGGAGAGACGCAAGGCAGTCCTGCTTCCACTGCTCTAGGGGTGGGAGAACACAGCCACAAAGTTGTAGACCATATACGGATCCCCTATGAGCCCGCCGCACCCTGGTCGCATCAGCAGAGGGTCCTGCCGGTCACGGCACAGGACCGAGAAAGCGCAACTCCTGTACCTCTGTTCCCCAGCTCCCACGCGTCCTGAGTAAGTAATTCCTGGGTCGCCGCGTCCATACTTAGCCAGTCGCCGCTGGCGAAAGCATTAGACATATCTTTGAGTACCACAGCATAGGATACCCCGGCTCTGGACAATCGATCCTGTGTAATCATGCTAGCCATAACTGCTCCCTCCCGTCGTCGCCCCTTCACAAGCCCGTAGTCCTCGTCCCTCCAAGGTTGAGCCCCTCCCCGTTCCAATTGTGCAGCGAAATAACATTCCCCAAGCGGATCCAGAACGTGGTAGATCCTTTTACCCCTGGGCCCCGTATTGTTGTTTTTTTCGTACTGCTGTAGCCTCGCTAATGTGCCAGTCTGCCGGGGCCCGTTTGGTGATGCGGATATGCCGGAAGGCCTGCTCAAGTTCGCTCCTGAAGCTCTTGGGGAAGATGCGGGGCCTCTCGATGCCTATTCCTCCTCTGTCTTGGACCTCGGGGGGTTTGGCAAGCATCATCCTCCAGGCTTCTGCAGGAGCCGTGCCTACTGGGTGGGCCCTGCGGAGTCCTGTCCTATAGAGCCTGCAAGCGACTTTCTTCATGTCCTGCTGGGCGAGGTCGATCGCATCATTCAGTGTCGCAAGATCGGGGGGGCGGGCACGGTGGCGGGACTCCTCTCTCAGCTCCTCTCTGGTCGTCGTCCTGGCCTCCATCCCTCCTTGTCCTCCTGGGAGCCTCCAGAAGTCCTTCCACTCCTGTCGAGTCGGCATGCTGGTGACCACGCTGCGATAGTTCCTGCGCCGTCGTCCCAGCTGCGTGCCGGAGGAGGAGGAGGAGGAGGAGGAGGAGAAGGACGAGGAGGAAGAGGGGGAGGGGGAGGGGGAGGAGTCTGGGGATTGGGCGTCGCTGAAAGGGGGGGGGCGATAGCCCGGGGGGGAAGAGAGGTACACGTCTCCGGCCCGAGAGGGCCCCCTCTCTGCAGTCCTCGCTGCCCCCCATCTGATCGCTCTGCCATTACACAGTGATGGGCGTGTTTTCCACCACCACCACCATAAGTTGGAGGGGGGGGTCCTCAAGCTGCTGCTGCGGAGGTTGACAATGAGCTTCGCATTCTTTCTTCCACTCTTGCTGCCGAACGACGTCGTGCTGCACGCGCTCTTCGCTCTCAGTTGGTCGAAGAAGCTTCTGAGCAGTGGCGTCGGAGGTTCACCTCAGAGGCACTTTCATTATCCAGGCGCGCGGCTCGTTGTAGAATGGGCCCGAAGAACAGAGACGGGCGTCTGGTGCAGGGGGCCCCTCCTTGTCGGGAGGAATGGTTCCAGGTTTGGTAAGCTCCTGGGGGTGAAGGAGGAATGAAGGTGCAGGAGGCAGGCTGGGTGGCTTGGAGGGCAGAGAGAGAGGGGGAGGTTTACGATTGGGACGTGACGGAGGAGGAGCTGGAGCTTGCTAAACTGGACTTGCAGCATATTAGGTCTTATATCAAGC